CACATAACAAACCCCTTATTAATTCTCTGGTACAAAAAACCTCAACCAACCCAGCTGCTGTGAATTTGTCAGAAGAGCCTTCTTCCTACTATTAAAGATTGCTCTTCAGTGAAGGTGAATCCTTCTCTGCCACCCTTCAAACACACAAAATAGGTAAAATCTGGACACTGTTTCTTGCCTATACACCTTCAAACATGAACACAGTCACTATATCCCCCAATTTTAAAATTCAATAGTATAACTTTCTCTTTTTAAGAAGATAGTACAACTTTTTAGTAACATGCAAACGAGGTCTAGTCCTCCAGGTAGACATTGTCATTTTTCTACAGTGGGCACCCAATGCCCCTCTGGCAGGTTTAATATGAGCACTTATCATCAGAGCTCCACTGGCACGAGGAGGGCCACTGGCCGACAAAGCGAACAGGGCCTTGGGGCAAGGGGCTGCAGCCAAGGCAGCCAGGGAAGAGGAGCACCAGGGGGAGGAGCAGCGAACCAGGGTTGGGGGGAGCATGTGGGGTCAGTGTTGGTGGAGAGGGAAAGGGAACCAGCTTCCCACGGCCCTGAATGCCCTGAGCCTGCCTGGAGCCTCCTCAGATCACCTCCAATGCCCAGCCTGGCCTTGACCACCTTCTCCCAAGGATGCACATCCTCAGAATACAGCCTCATCCCTTGCTGATGCCTGTGATCCTGCCTTAGGACAGCTGCTTTGCTGTCTGCAGGGTAGCAGAAATATTCCAGCTCTGGAGCAATACCTGAATGCCCTGTTAAACAGATACATGTTAAAGGGACTGTGCAATTTACCCATGAAAGAGGATGTTTAGAAGGAGGTATTTGTAGGCATTCCACTCCCGGAGTCTGGTAACACGCTTTTCTCCTTGTCTTATGGAACACTGTTGAAACCAGGTAAAAAATAATTCTGTTATTCAGGTTTGAGCTACATATTCCCATTGGAGGTGGGAGAATGGCATCTCCAAGGGAGATGGTGGAGAAGGGCATAGTCTATTAATCATAATTTTGTTGCTCAGGAAATACTCTCAATAAATAATTCAATAGGATAACTTCCGTTCTCTCCACTTCTTCAGTCCACTGCCATAAACCTATCTTTCCAGTTCCAATATTTATACCAATGGAATCTGCGTCCTTACCTTGTCTTTATAATCTCAACCTTAGCATGAATTCTTCTCAGTCACATATGTGGACTGTGAGAACTCCCTTGGTTTTGAAAACTAGAAGACAGAATTATTTCAGCTGAAAAATAAATGGATTCACATAGTCCCAGAAATAGATCCCCATATGCAAACCCAGAAGTTTTTATTTTCAACTATAGCTGATTTATTCCGTTTTCCCATTATATAGTAAGCGAACACAAACATTTCCCCAACATTGCGACCAAGGCTGGATGCCCAGGCACGGGAGTGGAGCAAAAGAAAAACTGGTCTTGAAAACTCAACCATTCTGAAAAAAGGATCTTTCCAGAAACCAATGTCTAGTCATCCCTGCGTCTCTTCTGGCATTATATATTCTGTGCGGCAGCACGACAAATAATGTTCTCTTTATTCAGCTTCCATTTGTATCTCCTCTTCTTTTGCAGTGCAATTGCTCCATGCGGTTTCGCTAGTATTTAGCTGTGGTTTGTGAGGGGTTTGAGTTCTGCTATCTGGTCCCACACCTTTGGCATTCTGTTTGCTCCAACCTACACATAACTTCCTCTTTCACATAAACCATGGACTTAATTTGGAAAACAGACCTGAGTTTCTTCAGCCTGCATTGTGGCTGAGCCACCAGGGGCCTTGGAGGGTGACCCTGTGCTGCTGAGAAAGATCTCCTGAGGGCACTTGGGGTTCCTGTGTTACTTGTCCTTGCATAGCACATCCATGCATGTGCTCTTACACACGCACTTCTGTCCTCTTTTGCTCTAGTAAATGGTTCTCCACTCTGCAGCCTTCAGAGAGTAGGTGCAGAGAGCAGCTTTTCTGCCTTCAGAATTTGTTGCTCAGAGGAGTTCAGGGCAAACAAAAGATCCAGTGACATATCTTTTTGCTCTTCTTCAGACTGAACGAGACGGTAGCCCAGCATGTCCATTGCATCCTTGCACATATTTTGCACTTTTTCTATTTTCTGGAAGGGAAGGGTCTTCCTCCAGGCCTGGGATACTCTCAGCGCATCTCTGGACCCAATATCAAAGGTCCGTGCTCCTTGCCCCTTCCCATGAGTGATGTTGTGCACCCACTTCTGAAGTTCTGGTGTGAAATGAAGTTCTGCAAACCTGTACATCTGAGCAGCCTTCGCTAGCGGGTCTCTAACAATATCTTCATAGCGAACCAGCAGGTAGCGGTCTTTGAGAAAGCTGGGAATGGCCTGACTGCCTGCCTTGTAAATCTCAAGATGGCTTTTGCAGATTACTTGCATTGTGTTGTAGGGCCCCATTTCTCCCTTTGTCCTCTGGGAGCCCACCAAAATGTTAGTGTCACGTTTCAGTTCTGCCACTGTATTCTCTCGGGACTTGAACACAGCCCGAGGATCACGTACCAGGTGAATGATTTTGAGGTTCAGGGATGGATCAGTGAGAAGGGGGTAGAGAACTTTCAGGTCAAAGAACCGAACCTCCTTGACCGCAACATGGCTGTAGGTTTTACAAGCTTCCTCCACCTTGCTGAATGGGTACTTGCCACAGATTGTTTTGCAATTGCCTGCACTGATTATGTCACTGCGACTGAAGGAGTCACAAGCAGGGGGGGAGCACAAGGCTCGGCTTGTCTCCCACTGAAATAAGTCAGACTTTTTCTTCTGGCTAGACATGTAAGCATCAAATACAGACATGTCACACAGAAAGACCGACCTGACTAAGTCCCGCACTGCCATGTGCAAGACCTTGGCACTGTTCTGGTACATGTTAACCCACACGTGCCATGCGGGCTCCATCAGGTAGAAGACGCTGGGGTGCTGGCTGAAGATTTGCCCAGTGAAGGAAGATCCTGACCGCCAGGAGGAGAGAATAAGGATGTGGACTGGAGAAGGTTTTTCTTCCACGGGGACATTGTTGCTGCAGGGTGGGAAGTAGAAGTGGATCAGAAGGAAGAACAGAACTGCCAGAATCAGGAGCACCTGCACTCTTCTACGCTTCATCATGGTTGCAAAGGACCTGCAGAGACAAAGTGCAGCATCACAGGATCATGAAGAAGGCAAGATGTGGTGCATCAGGCTCCTGCCAATTCCTCTGCAGGCTCAGGTGTTTGGAAAGCTGCCACACTACCAGTGATACTGTGACAACCACAGCACAAGGTGTGTTTGGAAAGGACATAAATACTGCAGGACTGAAAGTTTTCTGTAACAAAACCACTGTTTGTCAGTAAGCCATTCTAATGCAGTCTTAGAAGATCACTGAAAAGCTTGTCTGCACTTTGTTATCACAGTTTAAGAGTTAGTTCAGTGTATTGAAATAAGTCAGTACACAGAAACATGTACTTAGCATACACAATCCCTGCAGACATGACCCTGGCAAATTTATGGAGGAAAGATGGAATAAACAGTTTTGTAGGTTTCCATTTCTTTTGCTTATATTCTTTTTGGAATGTCAGGAAACATTTATTGTCATCACAGGCAAAAACTCACATACCAAAGGAAGTCACTCGACACTGTAATAAATCCAAGCACAACAATACCTCCTCCACAATCACAGCATCATAGGCAGCTCTGCTAGAAAGGCCTGAGAGAGTTTATCTCCTCCATATTTGTGTAGGCAGGCTTACCTACAACTAACCCCTTTCTTAGCCTAACTCCTTTTTAAGGACTTTCTCCTGCTACCCTCCATTCAACCCCACTCATCCTGTAGGTTGTTTATGAGAAGAGGTAAAACACAGCGTATTAGTCCAGCTCAAAGGTCTCCCCAAATCTGGCTCCTTGTTTCTTGCACTAAACTTCTATTCTGCCAATTGAGGATGACTTCATTATTGGAAAATGTCCATTGTGCTGCCTGGGGACAATTCATAGCCTGAGTACGGGCTGGCACAGGAATCCACAGAAAGTACAACCCCGAGCCACGCCTGATTGTGCCTTGAATATCAGTGGGTGCATGCAGCACTGGCCACCCCTGGGGACAGGCTCCACAGATAGCCACGAAGCCCACGCAGGATGGTATGCTCCCCTGTCACCGCATGCCAGGCTGGCAGTTTAGCGGTGCTGCAGCAGAGACGGTCCTCTCTGGCCAGTGCAACTGCTTTACATTTCCCAAGGTGAACTGAAATTAAAACACCCTACTGGTTCTCAGTCACGGTCAGTCCTTCCAGGTGCTTCCACAGCCAGACAGGACAGAGAGAGCAGGGCAGGGCTGCAGAGGGAGCTGGAAGTCCTCCTGGACAGAGGAGCACTGGAGGCCAGGTCCTTACAGCCTTGTACACTGCTTTTGCACAGCCCAGGATTGCACCAAATTCAGGTAGCCATACCCATGCAGAGCAGCCACCTCCCTGCTAAAGCAGCAGAGGTATGAAGCGTGCCCCAACTGGCCACAGCACAGACACTGCTTCCCCGCTATGTGCTTACCATGTTGTCCTCTAGGTCCATGGTAATGCACGAAGTTCTCAGTCAAAATTTCCCTAACCTCCTCTTTATGCCCTGTTTCAATTTCCCTCTGCAGCAAAGCTTTCAGACTAATTTGCATGGAGGTGCCTCCTCCCATGATTTCAGTTCCTGTAGCACTGATGTTTCGATTTCCAGGTACAGTCACTGCTGCTAACCAACTAGGAACAGAACTCATCTTTCCCTCCAGCATGCACAGATAAATTGGCTTATCTAACCTACCTGCTGGGCATTCATTTTCAACTTCGGGTTTATACGGCACCAATTCCTCCGAGCCAGGACAATACCCGGCCCAATGGGTAAGCCTGGTTGTTGCCAGTAAGTGTGGCCGCAATATGAATTTTATTTTAGTAATGTCTTGCATTACTAAAGGATGGGGCTGTGCATTTAGTGAGCGACCACATGCTTCTGGTCTCCTGGACAAGAAGCCCACTGATTTTTTGGTTATACAAATGGGCTGTAGCGTTCAGGTCTGACAAGCTGCCGATTCAGGTCTGACAAGCTGGTTCAGGTCGACATTTGGACCAAGCCTAGGAAGAGCTGCAAACAAAGACTGTTGTAAAAAATAAGTGATATACCAGCTTCCTCCTTGCAAATGAATACAGCAGTGTTTACAAAAAGTCCTGGCTTCCAGATGAACTTTGATTATATCACTTCCATCTGGCACCATTAGTATCGTTATTCTAACTCCCGATAGAGTTCCTGGACTATAGCCAGAAGCTTTTAATTGGCAAAAACCATTGAGCAGACTTGAACCTTGGCAGTAATATATCCAGGGAGATTTAAAACCACAGAAATCCTTATTTCTCTGGAAACCTGGGTGTGAATAGTCTGAGCAGGAGTCAAAGAGAATGGATCCAGGTTTTGGGGGAAGCAAGGGTATGCTTTTACCTTGAATCAAATCAGGGTGGGACGGCTGGATGTTTTAGACATTTTACAGAGTATGCAGACCATCCCCATGACTGCTCTTGGTGTTTGCCTGAGAAACGGCCTCGTGTGAGCCCTCAGCCGCAACAGCTTCTTCACTCTTATACAAGAAGTAGTGATGATTGTTGCCCCGACCAGTCTGTCCCACAGGGAGGGGAGAAGGACTGAAATGGGTTGCGTGTGCCTGGTGAAGAGGAATAGAGAAGCAGCAAAGAGCGGTAGACGTTCTATCAGACATTTCCTAATATGAAAGAAATACTAATTACATAACCTTATTTTTCACCACTGTATCTCTCCATCACGGCAGCTGAGATGGTTCTAAGCTAAGGTCTTAAGCCTAACCACATTTTCCCTACCGCAAACATCCAGAGTCACAAGTGATTCAGTTCATTTCATATAGCAAAAGTGAAATATGAAGCCCTCACAGAGCTGCAGAGTAAAGATCAGCCCAGAATGACTGAAACCATCTCAGCTGCAGAACAAAAAAAGGCACACTGTTACTCTTTGCTGGCAGAGAGATGAGCCAGGATTTGGCTGAGAGCAGAAAGAACAGGAAGAATCTTAAGGCACTAAGGATGAAGAACAGAAACTGCTGAAAAATACAACAATCCAGTGTCACCATATTAGACTCTCCCACAGCACACATACGAGAACGCAGAGAACTGGGATCTGCCTGCCTGAGCAGCTAGAGTCTCCAAAAAAATGAGCAGAGTTTTAAGCTTTTCCAGAAACACACAGGGACCATGGAAAAGCCTGATCCTGGCAAAGAGCGAGTGTTACAGAAAGCAGCAAGCAGCCCCAGGGAGACGTACCCACCAAACACACTCTGAGCATGGGCAGCATGTCCCCAGACTACAGGGTTGCTGAACCTGTGCATGTCTGAGGGAGGGGACACAGCACAGCCCAAAATACCTCACGCTATGCAAACTGCGGCTGAGTGTGCTGCAAGTCTGGGGGAGCTCCCCAGACCAGTACAGGTCCCTCACTGCTGTAGCGGCAGTAGTGTAACAAAGCAGATCTGCTGTCAGGGAAGCCCCAGACACTGATCTTTGATGGCACTGATGGTTGCTCATAGTTTTATCAAATCCTTCTTCAATTTGGCCTGACCAGCTGCTGCAGAATTAGAAGTAGCGTCTGCCCATTCAGAGGAGAACAGATGGCATGACTGTCACAAGAGGGAAATGCTGAGAAAGGGCACTGAGAAGGCAGTCTGGAGAAGCAGAAGCTACCCTTTAAGCCAGACCAACAGCTTCTGTCTGCAGGAGGAATCGTAGTAATTTACTGGCATCCGTATGTTTACAGTGTTTTACAAAAATTACCTCCCAGTTCAGGCTGCTGAGCGTGAGCAGTGAATACAATTCTGGGCACCACAGCATCCACACCAGATACCAAGAAATGGTTGAAAACCTCACCTTAACAAGTTCTCTTGAAGCATCACCGGACCTGGTTCAAGCAAAGTTGCCCTCACACACGTACACTGCTGTGGTACACTCTCCTCCAGTTAGGCACATGAACAGCTGTGCATCCACCTTGTGGATGTGCCGGGCTCTCACATAAGCAGGTACTCAGCTCTTACCTATACCTCTGCCTGCTCCCTCCCTTTCCCTTCATTTGTGTATGTCCCAGCTCTAAGATCGACTAGTCTACAGTACCCGCCTACTTTGACCAGCCTTAAACTAGAAAACTCCACCCTGCACTAAACAGCAAAGCATGGGCATGGCAGTTTCTTGCAGGGGCACAAATGACCACACACTGCTAGTAAAGGAGAAGGGCCAAGAAATTCTTGAAGGAGACTGAGAGGTGCTTTTATGTTAACTCCCATTGCAAGCCCCAAAAGAGACTGCTTTCCATAAAAGGAGGAACAAGGATGTCTGTGGAGTGGCAGAGCAAAGGACATACAGGAACCCTTGTTGCAAGGAGGACCAGATTGCCCACCAGGAGTGCAGAGATACGGCATATTTGCCTTCCATTGCTCTGGCTGCTTGCCGTGTTGTTCAGCAGATGCAGATTCACATAAAGTCATTTTGACTCTTTTCTGTCTGTGCCTTGCTCGAGTTAAACTTCGGGGGGCTGGGAAAGAAAATTGTGTGAAAGGAGAAACTGTGAAAGGAGTAGCTGGACTTGGCCTGTTAATGATTCACAAGGCTGCTGGAGCTGCAGAGGGGCTGTGCCAGGTGAGGTAGTGAAGCAGGGCAGTGCTGGGCTCAAGAGAAACACACGGTATGCTGCAACCATGCAGAGATAATCGCTTTGGGTCATTGCTGTTCCAGGTCTCATCATTTCTGTCACACCATCTGGAGAGGTGTAGACCTTCTCTTGATGGTGTCCCCTGTCCCCAGGGGTCTCCCGGAGCTGCTCTGAGGGCAAGTGGAGTGTAGGGGACAGCAGAAGCAAAATATCCAGGAAAGGCTGGTCCTTCCTGCAGGAGGGACAGCCTGAATGGGGCAGGTCATGTTCCCTTTCACTTGCTGCGCTGCAAACACAGACGGTCAAGCCCTGGTAACCCTGGGCTGGGAAACAAAGTGAGAAGCTGGCAGTGGTCCAGGTGGGGCCTTGCAGAGAAAACCATGCAGTGTTCTGTACAACCTGGATGTCAGCTATGTGTTCCTGTGCCCTGCACTGACACC